CTAAGGCTTCAAGAGTTGGACATGACCATCGTCTATAAATCTGGGATGCCGACGCCGACTGTCTCTCACGGTTGCCAGTGGAAACTCGCTCCTGATGACGAAAACATCGACGCGGCATTCTTGGGAGTAGTCAACACGGCTGCTATTGCACGAGAGCAGCGCTGTAACCTTGAGCTGTTACCACTCGTTGAATATTTAGAAGGACGACGTAAACACGTGCCGCGGTTATTTGATAGAGGACTGCCATCTTTTTGCTTGCGAAACGATGTTCTTTACAAGAAAAACTTCTCACCAACCGGTAACCCGCACTTGCTCGTCGTGCCTGCCTCTCTTCAAAAAGAAATTATGGAAGCGTGCCATGATGAAGCAACTTCTGGTCATCTAGGCTACACCCGAACATTGTGCCAACTACGATGCAAGTACTACTGGCCAAAGTTAACTGCTGCTGTTAACCATCACGTGCGAACTTGCACCGACTGCCAAAGACGCAAAGCGCCTCCCAGCAAGCCAGCTGGTCTTTTACATCCAGTCGAAGCCCCAGAAATACCGTTCACCCAGATTGGAATGAATTTCCTGGGTCCCTTTCCAACTTCCACAACAGGGAACAGATGGATTATTGTGGCCACCGATTACCTCTCCGGTTATGCGGATACTAAAGCTATGCAGCGTGGCAGAGCAGCAGAAGCCACTCAGTTCTTCATCGAAAACATTGTTGTGATGAGTGAAGAAAACGACGACAACGACGGAAGTGCGGGACAAAAGCGCGTGTGATTTCGAGCCAATTGTGGGCGTGAGGTCAGCCAACCAGCTGATGACCTGTGGTGGCCCATAGAGGTGGCGTACCACGATTGGGCCACGTGTGACCATTACATGGCGGTAAGCTTGGTGGCTGGGGACGAGCCGAAGCATCGGCAGACGGAAGACAGCGGGCCGAAGCGTCGGATGCAGGTGATCCAGGTTCCGGCCAGCGAGCCTGGAAGACAGCGAGCCTGCCAGGATCCATATATTGTAATGAAAATTTATTCTATTTCAGGGCTAAGGTTCGTCAACACTTGTTTTGTGTGTCGTGCGAGGAGAAATGGACTTTGAGACGACGCGGTAACAACACACACGACGTTTATGACAGAGCACGAAAGATAAAAATAGAATATAGAACCAGAAAAACCACGAAGGCGAATAAGTAACAAAACTGTCTGATTGAATGAAAAAACTATAGAACACCAGTTCAAGGCGGAAAGTTTCAAAACCTCACGATGAGATAGGGGGCCCGACAAACGCAGAGGTGCAGGGCAGGAGGCGGTGACAGGCGATCGGGAGCGGGGTGCGTCTCGATGTGTGATGCTATGGTTGACGGTTACGCTTGGCGGAGTGGGGGTGCGGGTACGACTACGAAGCAGTCAACCCGCATTGGAGACGCGATGCTCCATGGGTGTAAATGGCCAGGCCGTCCAGCGAACAGCTTGCGTCGAGACGCGATGCTCGGCGCAACCGTGACCATTAGCCAGGCCACGTACGTCGCTGTGCCGAATGTGTGCCCATGGAGACGCCTCGCTGAGATCCGCGATGCCCTCGGCAAGGAAGAGAACAGCAGGCCAGGCCGCGCCCCGAGATGCAGTACTCGTGCCGGCAATGCCGCCCCAGCTGGTGGTTGGACGGCAGCAGCGTGGACGGCCGCGTTCCCTGGCCGGAACCTGGATCGCCTGCGTCCGACGTTTCGGCCCGCTGTCTTCCGTCTGCCGATGCTTCGGCTCGTCCCCAGACACCAAGCTTACCGCCACGTAATGGTCACACGTGACCCAATTGTGGTACGCTACCTCTATGGGCCACCACAGGTCATCAGCTGGTTGGCTGACCTCACGCGCACAGTTGGCTCGAAATCACACGCGCCTTGCCCCACACTTCCGTCATCGTCGTTTTCTTAACTCATCACAATCGTCCTTTGGCATGGCGCTCCGACAGCAGTGATCACAGACAGAGGACCTGCCTTCACCGCGGAGCTTTTGAAGTCGGATCTCAGACTCAGCGGTTCAGCTCACTGGAGAACAACTGCATACCATCCGCAGACAAACGGACTGACGGAGCGCCTCAATAGGACCCTCACAGACATGATCAGCATATACATTCACACGGAACATAAAAACTGGGATCAGATATTGCCGTACGTGACCTTTGCCTATAACACCGCTCGACAAGAAACCACTGGAATGACACCGTTCAGTCTGATCTATGGTCACGAAGTCACGACAACGTTGGACGCCATGTTGCCGCATGAGTGTGACGACATCCATGTACAAGCCGAAGAATTGACTCAGCGCGCCGAAGAAGCCAGACAGCTCGCGTGCGTGCGCATCTGTCATCAGCAGCGTCGAGATGCACAACGCTGCGACACCCGACACAAGTTTATTAGCTACACACCAGGCGACAAGGTCTGGGTCCGAATTCCGATACGTCGACGTGGACTGTCTGAAAAACTGCTAAGACGATACTTTGGCCAATGCAGCGTCACGCGATGCTTGAACGACGTAAACTACGAAGTTGTTCCCGACACTAATTGTAGTTCTAAGCGCCAAAAGCATTTACCCGAAGTCGTGCACGTTGTGCGTATGAAACCGTATTTATCGAGTTAATTAGCTCCCGGTTACCGTTTTGGTACGACCACTTCATATGCCTGGTAGACCATCTCAGTTGAGCATTTAGACGATGCCTCTTTCGGAGGGAGGCAAATGTCACGTGCTTGCTCAAGAAAGACAATGGCAGTTGTGCATGTGCCACGAAGGACTACGAAATGGACGAAAAAGAACTCGCTTGCGCATTCTGATAAAAAGACCGACCTGCTTTTGGTGTCTCAATCTCTGTGGCAAGACCTCTGTTTTGACGTCGTGACAATATCGCACCAATACATTTAGGAATCGGCATGCTCGATGTTTACTTAAGCAGTAAAAGTTACAACCAGAGAGCTTCATTTTCTTTCCCAACCCCCTTAATTACACTGAAAACACGGTAGCTCAATCAAAGGTTCTCGTTTGAATTATCAAAGCTTGAAATAAGATGATGTAACGGTACAGGAGCTCTGTAAATGCCAACAAACTTGCACTACGCAAGGGGGAGATCGGTAGCACTTTGTGCATCATCTCAACAATATGAAACTTCTAAAAGGAGATCTGTGGTTTTTATTTAATGGACTCACAAATAACATGCACTAAATAAATACAATAAGCACACATGCTTAAAGATATATTTTAACAAGCTAGGAGTGATTTGCTGTCAAAAAGTGGGTCAGTACAGAGTCACGTTGCTGCGGTAAGTAGAATGCACTCACAAGATGGCGAAAATTAGCCTAAAATAATGCATTGGGTGGCTAGTTACTTCATAATCGTAAAGCTTGGTAGCACAATATTGAAGAGGACAAGAACAAACATAGCGCTCCGTCTTGTATTACTCTGTTCTTTATTGTCCTCTTCGATTTTGCGCAACCAAGCTTCAAGATGGTGAAAAGTGTTCAGGGATGAAAGTGGACTTCAGTGTTTTGGAGCAGCTCAGGGAGCAGGAATAATGCTGTTGTGGAGCAGCTTTGGCACAGTAAAAGGAGTTTTAGAGCAAGTTCGGAGCATAGAAAGGAGTGTCTCGGAGCAATGCGAGTTAGTTTTAGAGCAGCTTTTTAGGGCCAAACATCATCGTTATTCACAATTATCTCTGGTGAAAAAAAATTGAATGGCTTTTCACTAAGCTTTCAGTACTAATGAGCTTACCAGACTTACCACCTACAAATTTAAGTGTGCATGTTTGTGCATGTGTGTGTGTGATACAAAACATGCCCGTTTAATACTCAGCCTGAAATGTGCAAGGAGTCTTGCTGGCCTCGGCAGCATTGCACCCGATGTGTGAAACTGCACAGATAATTGCGGTGCACTTCGCTTGGCGGAAGTTTGTTATTAAGCACACTAACTACTCTGCTCATCTGTGCTCAGTCTAGAGCAAAGTGGGGTTGAGCAATCCACACAGCGAATCCGTGTACATAGTACAGCATGCCACCCGGCAGCGATGGCGTGGGCAGCATTGGCACCATGCTGCATGCTATTAACCAAGAGATAATGGAGTCTACGCAACCGCTCGGTGTTTGAATGAAACTGTCAGTTGTCGCTTAGTAACACACCACGGTAGAGAAGCACACATATGTATCACGGAAGACTGATAGCGTTCGTTCTGTCGCTATTTCAGTCGCTGCGTATCTTGGAACCTGTATCTGTTGAGAAATGTTTCCTGGCGTCACCACTGCGAGCTATAAAACGATCATGCAAGAGTGCCACTACATTTTCCACACTCTGGTAAAAAGGAAGAAAAGACTTTTTGGTGGGAAACTTGGGCAACTTCTGCTGTGTTACTGTGTTTATTGGTGGCGATGGGGCATGTCAAGAGATGCACACTGCACTTGTAAGTGCGCACTGCCGTTTAGTGCATGATCGTACTACATTCCCAGCTTGTACAAACTATCGAAATCTCACTGTATTACTGGTAGTTAATTGTTATTCACATTGGTGCCACCACTTTTTCAGGGCAACTATGGCGATAACAACAATGAGACGAGCGCTAGCAAGCCCCGAGAATAAACATAGTTACAACACCATCGGACTCCACTGGATATAAATATGGCTGCATCCTTAGTGTAGCCAACACTCATTGTTGCTCGGTCGACAAAAATCATCGATTGGATTTCACGGTTTACACTTCCAATGGACAAATATTGCGAGAATTGCCGTTTGTGTGCAGCCTGGCGCAACAGGTCAGATCAGCGCAGAATGGCGCAATCGGCGCAGCACCTTCACCCCAGAGTGTTTTCATTTTACAATTAATTTTCTAGAAAGATATTTGGGACAGTTCAAGTATTGCCATATCTACCACAGATATATCTTGACAACAGCATTGAGTTGGCATGTACGCAACTGGGACATACCATGCACGACCACATGAATATGGTGCGCAACAAAAGCATCTTCACTCACCTGCAATGTTGACCTGACCAGAGCTGTTCGCCAGAGCATGCAAGAGAGCCATGGCACCGCAGGCATTTTTGATTGTCTGCTTCATGAAGTAAACCTTGTCACTGACCACCTGGCCGACTCTGGCAATCTGCTGGCTCTTCTGCTCAACAAAGTTGGTGTACTGCAGAAAATAAAGGCTCGAAGTAAGTACATCCGGTTGACAATAACCCAAAACTAGAATATTTTTAAAATATGTATGTCAATCTGACAAATAATAGCAGACAGCAGTACCAATGCAAGCAAGGGTATCGGCAGGATCTTTCATTGAGGGGGGATGCCAAGCGCCCCTTTTGCATCCCCCCCCAGATGATGCCCATGCGTACAAATGATTCCTCACACCCTTCTGAAGCTTTAGAAACATACATTGGTGATATTGCAAACAACAGGCGCTACAACGGGAGGTTGTTTTCTTTCCTTTACATATACATTGCTGGTCTAACTGAGCACAATAACTAACGTTGTGGCATATTCTGTGCAGGTTGCACTGCAGCCCCAGCACAACCTTGTGGATCTGGGGGTGCAACCGTGGGTCTGAACCAATGATGCTGTGTGAGCTTAGGTGAGCATGAGTACACAAGCCCTTGAGTTGAACAAGCCTGCCCAAGTGCGATATGGGCTAGCCTCGTGTGCACTAACATCCACTTCTGTGGAAGGAATGCTGAACAAAAGTTCGAAAAACTAATTAAAATTGTACTAGAAAGATGTGACTGTTCCTATAAACAGACTTGATTTCCTGTATTTTATTGCAATAGCAATAAAATACAGGACACTCTCAGCTGGTTTTTGCCATTGTGGTCATGTCCCAGATATGTATATGCATTTATAAATATATACATTGTAGCAAGAGAGGAAGACAAGACGGCGACCAACGTGGTCGTGTCGTTCTCTCGCCATTTTATTATCAAAGGCGATTTGCCGAAGCGGAGCCCCAGCGGCTGCAGCGTCCCCACCGCCAGGCGCGTGAGCCCGATCTGTCCTCGCGCAGCTTGAGCTATGCATGAGCTGTGTGAGAGGCGCGGCGTGGTCGCTATGAAAATGGTGATGATGATGAATGTCAGTGATGATGTAGCGGGGCGCTACATAGGCTACCCCCCCCCCCCCCTAGCGCTTTGCACGATTGAGAACATATGTACAAATAAAAAAGATGGAAAGAGACTATATACATAAATGACAGTCCGCAAAGTGTCCGTTTGGGAAGTCCAGGTTACGTGTATAAGCCATCGGGAAGCAGTGGGTCTTCGGGGGCGACACTGGGAGAAACGCAGTGGACGGAGATGAAAGCGCCGGGTCACTGCGGTGATAGACGCGTGTGTCCCGCGACGACCCGGAGGGAGAATTTGAGAGCAAATCTGGCGGATGAACCGGACGCGGCTGACAAGGGTGCCCCCATCTAGAGCCGTGAAAAAGCACTGAAGAACTCGCGTCGGTGATATGTGCGAAGCGATCTGATGGATCAGAGCGGAGCCATGATGACAGAGGACTGAAATGTAAAGGTCGCGACGGAGTCTCCGACAGCGCACATAGTGCCAACAAGGCAGCCGACAAAGAGCAGTTGGCTATGAAAATGGGGATGATGATGAATGTCGAAGATGATGTAGCGGGGCGCTACAACATATATATAACATGCACCGAGAAAAATAAATCAAGAGAAAAAATTACAAGGCACCCACCGGGGATTCGAACCAGTGACACCTCGCTCCTCAGTGCGCTACATTAACCAACTAGGCCACGCTGATCATACTGTCCAATTCACTTACGACGAGCTGTATATACACCACTTACCACTGGCTTACTTTGAAAGGACTTAAAATAATCATCCTTGAACAAAGCATGTACGTTGTCCAGACAAGCTATACATGCATTCCATAAACATTGATGTGTCTGATTGCTTGATAAATGGAGGGCTGGGTTCACTGGTTCACGAGGTCTGTTAGAAAAGTATCCGACCTTATTTTTCTTTTTGCGAACACCTGATGAAATCGAAACAAGCGCGCTTGCAACAGTCTACTTTAAACCTTCGTGCGCATGTGTGAATTTTTTCTCGCCTGCCAATAGCGTCAGTCGCTGGGACACGGCGTTTAAGTGAGGTGGTGCACAATGCTGGCATCAGTTTTTCATTGCAGGAGAAATGACAGAGCCACTGGAGCAGTGCTACTACATCAAATTTTGCCAGAAACTGGGCGACAGACAAGTGGAAACCATTGGGAAGATCAAGACAGTTTTCGGTGACGACGCTATGAGCCGCACATAGATTAAGGAGTGGTACAACCGTTTTAAAGACAGCCGCACATCGGTGGAGAGCAAGCCACGCTCCGGTGTGCCATCCACATGCCGAAATTAGCAGGTCATTGTCGAAGTGAACACTGTGGTGATTCGGGACCGTCGTGTAACTATAGGAGAAATTGCGAAAGAGGTGGGCATCAGTACTTTCTCTGCACATGCCATTATAACCGAAGATTTGGCCATGAGGAGTGTTACGGCGAAATTTGTGCCAAAACTGCTCACGGTGGAGCAAAAGCAACTTCGTGTTGAAGTCTCACAGGACATGCTGGATTTCATAAGCAGTGACCCTAACTTCATGAACACCATTATCACTGGTGACGAGTTTTGGGTGTACAAGTATGACACGGAAACCAAATCCCAGTCATCTAACTCCACGTCACCAAGACCAAAGAAGACCTGCCAAGGGCGCACCACCAGAATAATGATCCTGCGCATTCTTCACACTTGGTTCACACTTTTTTTGGCGAATACTCGGACTCCTGTAGTTCCTGATATGGCCCACTGGGACTTCTCACTGTTTTTCAAACTCAAGAGGACACTGAAGGAAAGCGATTTCAGACAAAGGAGGACATTATGACTGCAACGAGAGCTGGGCCAAACTCCATTCCGAAGGAAGCCTTCCCAGAATGCTTCCAACAATGGCAGCACCGCTGAGAAAAGTGTGTGGAGTCTCAAGGGGGGGGGGGGACTATGTTGAGGGAGATTAAGTTTCCGATACTCCGATTATACCAGTTCTTTTTTCCACCAAAGGTCGGAGGTCGGATACTTTTCTAACAGACTTCGTACAGAATGATGAAAGGGGCATTCTAAGATGTCTCTGGCTTCACTTTCATTCTAAAATGACTGGAAGAATCGCTCGCATCAAGTCCAGGACTATCCAAGATGTTGCTGGTCCTGTCGTGCCTGTGAATTTGGTTCCCGTCAAAATTTGCACAACCACTATCACTTTAGACAGACCAACTCAACTCGCTGCCCCAGATGAGTCATGGTGACGCTTGTGCCATTAAAACATCAGAGAATCACATTTGTACTTGTAAACACGCACTGCCGTTTAGTGCATCTGTATAACCAGACAATTGACAGTTGCTCGTGTTGGTGCCACCACTTTTGCAGGGAAATCATGGCAATAACAGCGATGAGAAGAGCATCAGCAAGTCCTATGAATGAACCGAATTTATATGCGGCCATGTGCTTTGTGTAGCCAATGCTCTGTGTTGCTCAGTCGACAATAATTGGCTAGATTTGGTGGTTTACATTTCCAATTGACAATCACTATGGAAATTGCCGTTTATACGCAGTCTGGCGCAATTGGCGCAGATCTGCCACCCCTGCTTTTTTTCTCTCCTTCTTTTGGTACGGTGGCAAGCGTGTCTCGAAGCCGCCGGCCTCAGCCCATATGCGTGATGCTATATTGGTTAGAATATACCTCGCAGTACTCTATGATATGATTACAATGAAATACAGAAGTGTAGTAGTTAGTGCTTTTCCGCAGCGCCGCAGCTGTCAATGCTGACATACGCACGTAATGAAAAAAAAATCACCTCAGCTATGGCAGCCACTTTTGGCTAGATTTGAGATAGCATTTGTACAATTGGGGATTAGGACGAAATTCGGGAGTTCCCCAAACAATTCGGGAGAGTTGGCAGGTATGACATTGTGAACATTTTTGTGCCCTTAAGATGCATTCAGAGAGCACAGGAACTGATTGATATGTGGGGTTTAACGTCCCAAAACCACAATATGATTATGAGAGCCGCCGTAGTGGAGGGCTCCTGAAATTTCGACCATCTGGGGTTCTTTAATGTACACCAAATCTGAGCACACGGCCTACAACATTTCCACCTCCATCGAAAAAGCAGCCGCCCCAGCCGCGATTCGAACCCGCGACCTGCGGGTCAGCAGACGAGTACCTTAGCCATTAGACCACCGCGGCGAGGCCGAGCACAGGAACGTAAGGAAAACATCAAATAAGTATAAGGTTGGTTCGTGTGTACGGGCATTACTGCTCATCCACTGCCACATCTAGCTTCAAAATGCGTGGCTTCCTTCTCAGGAGTACGCACTTTCTTTGGACGTGCCACAACCCTCTAGACACGACCGGGCACAGCCAGGCTGTGTGCTACAAAGCAGAGGTTGCGTGTGATGTCTCCGCCAGTAGGCATTGCTTACCTAAGGCACAAGTGCGGATTGACCAGGTGGTGCAGTATCTGGTCACTAGACAAGGCGACTCTTATTTCACCTTCCCTCCTAACACTTTTTACTCTCTCACTACTTCTCTCTCTCTCTTTAATTGATGTTCTCTGTGTCTCTTTTTTTCTATGTCTCTCTCAATATTTCTATGCTATGTTTTACTTTTGGCCCTTTTCATTTCTCTACCCCTCACCATTCCATCTCTCCTTTTAACATTCACTTCCCTTTCCATCCCTCTTGCTACACTACACTATACAAGGCACTGCTAGCATGCCACGCTGTAGTGGTGAGTAGTGGGGCTTGTCAAAATTCTGTAGTGCATATTTATTCATGACTATAATAGTTTTCGGGCATGCTAGAGCTAGAACTGTTTCGTTGTTAAAAGAGTGTGCGTGAGAAAAAGAAAAAACTTTCTGTTTGTAAGCTCTCTTTGCCATGCATGTCTGCAAGATTTGGATAAGATGCGCACAGCAAGGTCTTCTATCTGCAGGATGTCTTTTTTCACCAAGCCCGATTGGTGGTACATGACCCATTTTAACCCAGCAAGCCATAAGCAAATATGAACGCAAGCCCAAGTGGGACAATGAATACATTTGGCAGTTTCACGTGCCACAACCATAACATGAATACGAGGCATGCTGTCGAGTCTTCTTCTCTTTGGAGACGTTTCTTGCCAGCTTGAATGACGTGATACTGTATGTGACAGTTTTACATTTACTAAATCAAAACGAAAATATACAACAAATGTTGATCCACGTTGCAACCACCACATTTCGATGGATGCAATATGCTAGATGCCCATGTTATGTGCGATGGCAGTGCATGGTTAAGAAATCCAACTGCTCAAGATACCCCCCCCCCCCCCCCACAGCGACTCTTATAAACCAAGTTGCATTGGGATATTAAAACCCAATAACTAATTATGAAAAAGAATAGTCCACAGGAGAGAATGAGTGAACTAGAAGGTCGTCATTGTAAAAATTGAAGGAGAGTTGCGGACCCGTATGTCTGGCTACATCAAAGGTAATAGAACAACAGAACTAGGCAGTGCTCGTGGCTGTCGACCTTGCCTGTGCCCCTCCTTTCTCCTTTATTTAAAACACATTCCCGCGGCCGGCAAAGTTGCAAACGTTTTAAAAAAGAAAGGTTTGAGCGAGCCTGCCGGGACGCGTTACGTATAAACAAGTTCACCCACTGATGTGTCACTGGCTTCAATTGAAAACAAAATTAAAGGAATGCTGTTATAAGTGTTTTATTTTCAGGTAGAATCAAATTTCTTTTTCTGCTTTTGTTGTATGTTTTTCTTAATGACTGCAAGATCACTTTCGCAAATGGACTCATCTGCCTCGCCCTCCATATCTTTTTGGCCTTGCCAAAACAAGACTTCTGCGCATTTATTTATTTACAAATATTGAAATCCCCATAGGATTTTTAGATGGGTGTAAGGTATATTGTTACGGGAAATAGTACGTAACAATATCCTGGTACAAACATATAATGGCAGCAACAACTTCTGAAGCAGCCAACTTTCATGCAGTGGTTTAGTAATACAAACAAAACTCACAGAAGTTCGTTTATAGCAATACCGAAGTCACTGCAGCAGGTGGGTTCACTTAAGCCAATGCCCTAGCGCAACTACATTATGCAGGCCATCGTGTTCACACCATTGCAATATCTGGATGCATACCATCTAAAAAAAAGACTTTACAAAATACAAAACACACCGACCTAAGGAAGCAACCACACCGCATTTGCCCTCTGACTTTGGGTAAGCGCTACCTGGAGAAACTGAATAACATTTTTTTTTTTTTTTTTAGTATTAGCGAGCTGATTAATGCTTGCCCACATATCCCTGAAATAACTGAGAGGCAAGCGGGAATTCCGTGGCTTAACGCACAAGTACACTAGCGATCAATACTTCGCTAACGTAGTAACTATGGTGACGCTCACCTTGTCAGTGATCGGAAAGAGAAACAACAGGGCAGCCACGGGTTGCGGCACCATGGCCAGAAAATCATCGTCCAGTCCCAGTACGTCTACGAACGACCAGTCCGCAGGCAGCCCAAGCTTGTGAGCGAACTGCGAGAAGCAAAAGCGAAGATGAATACGATGCCAAGACGCAGTGAGGTAACCACCCACGAACCAGAAAATCGATTCAAGCCGGCGAGGCATTTCGCAAGATAAGCGAGAAACATTTAGAGACCGAAATTACGCGAAAGCTACACGTTTCCCTAATACTCATCCTCCACAAGACACCGGGTGTTCTTGTCTTCATACCTTTGTGATGACCTGAAAGGCAAAGGGCGCGAAACGTGAACGAACGCGCATAGTACTGAGCCAGAGTACACATTACAAAATTCCTTACATACCTCGGGATTGCTTTCCAAAGGAACCCATTTGCTCCCGCTAGCCATTGCGAGGTGTTGTTAGAGGTAAATGAGTGCAAAGGGAAAAAGTCAGCCAGGTAAATCTCAGTGTTCTAATTCAATTCTGGAACGCACGCACGCGCCGGCGACCGGTGAATCGTTTGTGGCTTTCTACTGACTTGAGCTGGCTCGAACTGGATCAGCCAGTTTTTTTCAGTTTCAGTTTTGGTACAGTCAGTGCCTCCTGTATATGGAGGCACTGGTACAGTATATTTCTAGACACTGTAATCGTAGTTCTTCCAGTTATAACTAGTCCAGAGTTCCGAATATATTTCGTTCGTGCTGTGACATGGTGAACGCGCTTCGTGCTGGATCCTGTCAGTGACTACAGGATGGCGCTGGCCAAGAACAGGTCGTGGCCAGGACGTCGAAAATGGTCGAGAGATTTTTTTGTGAAAAAGTGGCGCAGCACATGCAGGAGTCGGTGCTCGTCAAAAATAAATTAGCCATCGGTGAACATGCTCCATCAGTGAAAAGCCGACTTGTCGAGCAAAAATATCTCGAGCACGACTCTATTTAATTAGAGCAGAACGACGACAACAAGAGAAGAAGGACACGAGCGTATCCTTCGTGTCCCTCTTATCTCTTTGTCGTCGTTCTGTTCTCGCGCTATAACTATCGCCATGTCATACCAGCTAGCCCAAGCTGCCACACTTCTATTTGCACGGCGAGCTGCGCGGTCACGATCGCGACAAGCTCAGAAGCCTGTCGCGTGACCACGTCACCGAGTATTTACTTCGTAATTGCAGTGTTAGCGTGACTAAACGTATAAAACGAAAAAGCGAAGCAGCGTTCACGTTGTATAAGGTTCATAATAGCCACACAGAAGTTTTTGTCCCGTGGAGAGCTCCAGAAATTTCTGGATCACCCGGCTTGCTCTTCGTTCGTTCGTTCGTTCGTTTGTTTGTCTGTCTGTTTGTTTTAGCCTGGATACTGTGGCACGTACAAAGCTTGGAGAAATGGCCAAGAAAATGCATAGTATCCGATGGATAATAATGTCAAGAAAGAAAAATGTTACAAAAATAACGAGCAAGAAAGTGAGAAACTAAATAAGAAAGGAACAGAGCATTATTAACGCGAATTTGATTTCTGGGGTCGATATCACACAGTTGTGTTTGCCTGACTCAATTAATTTGAGACATTTAATGTCTCAAATCACTTCACGAGTATTTTTTTCGTATATGAGTACGTTTACTTCTCTTTCATCGAAGTCTGATCGCCACAGCCAGGATCCAACTTGCACATTTCGGGTCAGCAGCCGAGCACCGTAGTCAGTGAACCAGACTGCCAATCACGTACCAACGCCGTGCGTGGCTTCCGATTTCCAATTTCAGGGCAAGAAGCTGAAAGTGTTACCAAGACCACTAGGGTCAAGCTTGCAAACGGAGAGAAAGAGAAATGTTCCGACGTACGTTCGGAGAGGTTCCGAACGTCTCCACTTTTCTTTTTCTCTCATTTTCTCTTTCTGTTCGAGCACGTCCACCTCAGAGGGCATTTAAGTAATTTTAAATGCGAAGCATTTCTTTGCGTACTGCAAGCACACTTGGTATCTATCTATCTATCTATCTATCTATCTATCTGAAATCCAAAATACCAAGATTAGGTGTACCCGCAACTATGCTCGGCCGAGTAGGGTTGCAGGAACGTTGCGCTTGGACACTGAATGTACATTCAATCGATATACATGGACATTGTTATTTAGTAAATAAAATGCTTTTTCATGCACTTGGCACACTTACCACATGTAGTTGGTGTGTTGCACCTGCGGTTTCATGGTGGTCTTGCTTATTGCCCTTCAGCCGTACTTTACAGAAGCATCAAATGCATGAGGCTGCTTGGATTGATTGATATGGAGGGTTTAACATCCCAAAACCACCACGTGATTCGGATAGACGCCATAGGGGGGGGGGGGGGGGGGTCCGGAAATTACGACCACGTGGGGTTCTTCAACGTGCACACGAATCTGAGTACACGGGCCTACAGCATTTTTGCCCTCCATTGAAAATGCAGCAGCCGCAGCTGGGATTCGATCCCGCGACCTGCGGGTCATCAGCCGAGTACCTCAGCCACTAGAACACCGCGGTTCTATCTATCTATCTATCTATCTATCTATCTATCTATCTATCTATCTATCTATATATCTATCTGGCCGCTTATTCTGGGTGTTCTCGTGATCACCTCCTCAACGATTGGCGTGAACCAAAAGTAGTATGGAAGTGTAAGATGACGCGCGGGACAAGACATGAATAATGTCACAATGCCGTTGCGTACGTCGTATGTGCATAGGTGATTGACACTTAGTATCTATCTAGTAACAATGATACGGGGTAACTTTAACGCATGAGAGTTACGAAAAACCTGACATCGGCAGCGTTGACCCGACGAATACAAAGAATAAATGTCAGGGTCCCAGCAATAATCGAACCCCATCGTACTACGTGGTAATCAAGCATTCTACCACAGAGCCACGCCAGGTCTCGGAACTACATTTTAAATATACCCTAATCTACATTCGTTAAAATGCCAATGTGGTTGTAGTACTGGACATGCAATTTTATAAACATTACATATGTACTCCTATGATACAGGCGTCACGTCGAGTTAGGTGCTGTTATGATCGGCGCTGGAGTCAAGCAGAACGGGGTGCTCGCGGTTCTGGCGAACAAGTTAATTGCTGAACTGATGCGAGCCTGCTGACATCCGTGCAAGTACGGGCATTTTCCTCCCAACCTGGAAGCGAGGTGTACGCAGTCGCGACTCCGCAAAGTGTACAGCGAGACGACCGAAACGGTTTCGGTCGTGCCAGCCTCCTCGAAGAGATGGTGGTGTCAGCAGGGCTGACTACTATCAGCTCCGCAGAATGAGCGTGGCGAGCCGGGGTCCTTTTCATGTTCCCGGTAACACGAAAGTGGAATTCCGCAGCCAACGACAATCTTCCCCCAAGGAAGAGACAACTTGGCACCACAGTGGGAGTGTGGTGGCCACGTCCCGGTCAAAGACGTTGACCAGGGCGGGTGTGGGCGGCACCGTCGAAAATTGGTGTGTATCCGGTGGTTTGAAAGAGAAGTTTAAACTATTCCCCCCATCCAAGGGTGAGGGGAAAAAGGATTCTTCATAACCAGCCGCAGTGGGCTAGCCTTCGACGAGATCGTCATGATGTAGAACGACATCTTCGTCTAGATCTTTGGCATGTGGCGAAATGCTCGCCTGTACATAATGTAAAATAAACTTCTGTAGATTTTAACTCATTCATGCTCGGCGTCTCTCTTCCGAGTCCCCGGTGCCGGTAATGTCAAAGTCCCAACAACTCAACGACGGATAGCAGCGGTGGGATCCTGGTCAACCCCCGGTTTCAACAACTGCTCGGTGGAACCGGTGGGACCCCTGTCAAACACCAGATTTTGGCAGTTCCATACGCTGAAGTTGATTTATGTGGCAGTGTCCAGTCCAGGGCTACCTCCCTCGCGAGCATCAGCGCTACGTATCAGCTTATCGCTTCTGGTGTCACTATTACTCATGTTCCCGTTAGCAACGTTATGCAAGTGCAAACAAATGGTTAGATAAATATCTGCTGCTGTTCAACATATGCCTGTGCGTGCAACACTTGTACATATTGCCACCTGGTGTTCTGTGCCAGTGAACAGTGGGTCAGTTCTGGCCGGTGAACAAGGAAGACGAAGACGAGCAACCCGTGCCAGCGGAGACGTCCTTTTTTTTGTCTCCGATATTTTGGACAGTCGCGTCCCTTTGTACGTTCATTCGAGCTTTTAGCGCGTGACAACTGGCGGAGGTGTGGGGTACCCTATGCACCGAACCCCTCCCAGTACAAGAAGCTCACGCCCCATACCGGTGGTTACGCCTGTTCACCGTGATAGCCGCAGGATCCGTGGACTGGACCCTGAGTTCGGACTTCTCTCAGAAGAGATGACGGCCCCAACTATTCCAGGCAGCGCCGTCCCAAGCGGCTCCAACACAGCCGGTATGGAAGGCGCAACGCCATCGCAATATACGCTGTTCAAACCACGAACGCCGAATCCCTTTCATGGTGCTGTCCATGAGGATGTTGAAGATTGGCTAGTCCACTATGACTTCGTTGCCGCTCATAACATGTGGGATGACACAGACAAGGTCTGACATGTCTACTTCAGTTTGAATGACGGGGCACGTGTTTGGTACGAAAACCGGGCAGGTGTGTTCACGTCATGGGTGGACTTCAAACGCCGGCTTCTCGAAACGTATGCAAGTCCCGATCGCCGAGAGCGAGCTGAACGTGAACTTCAGTGCCGTATGCAAATGCCAAATGAAGGCGTAGCAATGTATGTTGAGGACATGACGCGTCTCTTTAGACGAGCCGACCCTCACATGCCGGAAGAGAAGAAGGTGCGATACCTGATGCGTGGAGTGAAGGAGCAGTTGTTCGGTGGTCTTGTACGCAGCCCCCCCAAGACTACGTCAGAGTTTCTTGCTGAAACCGTCCTGATTGAAAGCACGCTTCGGCAACGGACCCAGACGTACGAGCGACAAGTGAACTTTTCTTCTGCTACGGACTACATGGGTGGTTTGGGGGCCCACGTCGACTTCTTCCGAGAGCTCATACGCTCTGTAATTCGCGAAGAACTGCAGAAGTTATCTGTACGCTCGGCGTCCACTGTCAGTTCTTTTCCGGCATCGTCCGAGATGAAGTTCAGCAGGCCCTACGAGAACCGTCCTGTCAGACAGAGCCGCGGTCCCTAAATGACTTCCCTCACATGTCGTATGCGCAAACTCTGCTCCAGCCAGCACCACCTTTGCCTCCGCTTCCCACCGCGGCCCCTGCCATGCTTCCGGCAGATCAAACTCTGTGCCCACCTGCACCACATTTCACTCCGCCTTATACTACAGCCCCAGCCATGCTTCAGGCAGTCCAAGCGGGCCCGTACCTCAGTGACCGCCGACCGATTCCGCGAAAATCAGACGTGTGGCGGGCCCCCGATCGACGTCCCCTTTGCTATCACTGTGGTGAACCTGGGCACATCTACCGACAGTGCACTTATCGAGAGCTGGGACTTCGTGGTTTTTCGGCCAACTCCCCACCTCCTAGGTTCGGCCAGCGGCCTCCGGAAATC